AAACCCAAAACCCCTAAACCCCTCAATCGCCGACCTGGCTTCAGGGCTCATGCAGGCCGACCCACCTCATGTCGCAGGAGCCCAAAGGCCCCGAAAGGTCGCAAAAGCCAAGCCCCAAAACTGCCGAGGCTGGAGCAGGACGAGCCCCAAACCCTAAAATTCCCCAAAACCTGCACCTGGACCCGAAAAGTATGTAGAATAATAGCCTTCTATAGGTTTTGGGCCATTATTTTACCTACTTTTGGGGTTTAGATTAAGACTCCAAGCTCTTAAAACCCGCATCCCATGACTACATTCTGAACCCTTCCAACCGTTTCGCTGCCTGAGACGAGTAGGACTCCGCGACCGAACGCGCTTTCGCCTCACGGCGGGGGGGGGGGGGCTCCAAAAAGCCCAAGCTGACTGTCTTGCAATTAGGGGAAAAGTTTTAGGGTTTTTTGCCTCATTTCGGGTTTTGGGGTTTAGGGTTTAGGTTCAAGGTACCATGTCAGCTCAGGGGCTTGCCGTGATTTTTTTCCGGCTCATGCCTCCGATCTAAGGGGTTTAGGGTTTAGGGTAAGGTTTAGAGTTTAGGGTTTAGGGTTTAGGGTTTAGAGTTTAGGGTTTAGGGCCTGAAAATTGACGTATTGTGCCGTCTTGCCCTTCTGGCGAGGGATAGGAACTTAAGTATGTCTCATTCAAACGCCCGAAATGGGGGTTTCCGAAAATAGGGGACCCTAACATAGTACCCTAAATAGTAGGATCCCTATTATAAGGACCCCAAACTAAGGTACCCCCAATTTTCTGAAACTCCCAAATGATGACTGGCTTCTTCCAATTCCGGACCCATGATCGCCTTCGAGCTTCAACAATCCTAAACCCTAAACCCTAAACCCTAAACCCTAAACCCAATACACAGAAACCCAAAACTGCTTCCAGTTCAGCCGCTGCTTCTTAGGGACCCGGAGGCCTGCTAGAAAGATTCTAGGGGCCCTTATAAGGGTATACGGATGGATATAGGGTATATAGTAAGTATAAGAAACACCCTGTAGACACTTTGGGCCCTGGAGGCCTCAGCTCTGAACCCCAAAAGGCTCTGCGCCCCAAAGCCTTGGCAGCAGCTGCGGCTTCGTGGGCGAGTCGTGATGCTATCTGCATCTCGGCCTCGACTCGCAGAGAACCCAGGTACTCAGAGTTGTCCGTCGAATGTGCGCCCTGCGACCCACATAATGACGAAATGCTGCCACTTCGCTATGTATGGTAGTCTTGGTTCTTTCTGCTGCCGTAATTGTTAAAGGAATTGCTGACTCGACACTATGGTCGCTCCCCCCCCCCGCCCTCAAGCCTGAGCAATACGGACCTCTTCAGCAGCTTGTGCGGCCGCAGTGGCCTCGCGGCAAGTCACGCCGAAGTCTTTCTCTTGGCAGTTGGCACTCTCTCTATGTATGTATGTATGTATGTATGTATGTATGTATGTATGTATATATATATATATATATATATATATTGTATATTTATTTATTTATTTGTTATGTATATATATATATATAAACCAAACCTCGAACCTGAACTCCTCCTGTTGTCTCAGCATGAGCCCCAAACCCTGCGAATTGAAACTCGGATGCTCTGAATCCAAACCTGATCCCAGCTCGTCACTGTGACGGAACGGGGTGTTGGGATCAAGGCTCGAGGTGGTAGTTTCCGAAAACAAGGGGTACCTTATTTGGGGGTCCTTATAATAAGGATCCTACTATTTAGTGCAGGGTCTTCAGAGCTTGGCTTAGGGTTCAGGGGTTCAGGGTTGGGTAGCCGCAAGGGCCCATGGAGCCATGAAGGAGCTCCTTTTTTGCCATAGATGTAGAGCCCGAGTATTCTATGCGTAGGCACATGGACCCTTATGGAAGGTAGTCGTCTGGAACCCGGAAGCCCTTGCTCAAACTGGTGGAATCCCAGCCCGGGCACCTCAGCACGTGCTCTCTCCTGAATTGGGCGATGCACATTACCCATAGGCCCCATAGTAGTCCCTTTTGGGATTACCTTATAGGATTCTAAATATGAACCCCAAAAGGGAAGTACTATGGAGCCTGTGGGTAGGTACTAGTGTAGGGCTTCTTGCTGTTAGTATCCCATAACACCCACAGTACAGTATCCCCACCAATACTCCTCAGGGGGAACTACAAACACCTATCAATACCCTCACATCAACCCGACATCAAACGAATCTGGCCCGCTTCGCTCTGAATCCTACGCCCGAAGACGACCTAGTGCAGGAGCCAAAATAATTACCATGCAATACGTAAAATGGGCCCCAAAACCTAATTCTAATTATTAAGGCCACTATATTCGAGTTTAGGGTTCATCAAGTCACCAAAGCTCGGTTTGAACCTGGAGCTCTCTGTTGCGAAGACTAGACCCTCCACCCTAAAGTCTTAAACCCCAATGTCAGGGTTGCTTGAGGGGTCCAAAAAGCCATCCCAAATACGGACGCATGGCTTAAGCTTTTCGGGTCAGCTTAAAAGCTAAAGACACGGAGCATTTGAGGTAGGTCCCCACCCGAAGTCAAAACCCCAGACTTGCTGCCTGCAGAGACACAGCCTATCTACCAGTTCTCGATACGAAGATTTCCGCCTTGAAAGCCCTGTCATGAACTAAAACCATTTTCTGACCTCTGACAAATCTTCAAGAACGAAGCTCTTCCAGACTAAAGTGTAAGAAGAGAGCCACCTGATTCGATTGCTCCAAACCCTGAACCCAAAGCTCCATGTTAAACTCAGAACCCCGGAATCGTAGCAGACCCTGGGTTCTACATCCTCCCCAACCTCACACCCATAAAACCCCACAGACCTTCCCTTCATAATCCACAGCACTACCGCTCCTCGGCCTCTGCTCGCCTCTTTGCCACTGCCGCTTCCTCCATTGCTGCCTGGTGTCTTGTCTCTCTGTCTGTGTGCGGTTGCGCCTTGCCTCTCTCTGTCTCGGTTTTGGTGGGGTAAGGTGAGGACGCTGGAGCTACAAGGTCTCGTGCTTTGGTCCATGGAACTGAAACGACAAAAGCGAAACAAACTAGATTGAGTGTGCTACTGTTAGAGACTCGGGGGACATAGTAATTAAGTAGACGGTAATGCTTTGCTGCCGCTGCCACTTCTAGTGCTGCTACTGCTGCTACATGTTCGGCCCTTGCTTTCGAACTGCGCCGAACTTCAGTCTAGATGAGTCTACCGATGAAGTTTGGAAGTTTGAGCTTCTTTTCGATGGGCCTCCATTGCCGCAGCACATGCCGCTGCCTCAGCTTCCTCTTGCGCCTTCGAGTGCGAAAGTTCACAGCTTCCGAGTCTTTTTTTTTGGGGTGCCAAGCATCGAGGTTGGCTTCGGATAGGGCATATATACTGTGGTCGTTGCTCAGGGCTGTGGCTTGTCAACGCTGGTCTTCTTGGGGCCGGGGGTCATGTCTATTTACATGACGGCTCAGTAGCGATCGAAAGTATACGCCTTCCTAAATATGCTACTGTTCGTGCTTTTGTAGCTTAAGCGCTAGCGAGCAACTTGTCAAATCAATTCCGGCACTCTAAAGACTAAACATAGGCCCCATATCCGTATGTATGTATGTACGTACGTACATAAGTAACGCACGTACGTAAGTACGTAAGTACGCATGTATGCATGTATGTATGTATGTATGTATGTATGTATGTATGTATGTATGTATGTATATATGTATGTATGTATGTATGTATGTATGTATAGGGAGAGACAGAGAGGGAGAGAGAGAGAGAGAGAGAGAGAGAGAGAGAGAGAGAGGGAGGAGGGTCAGAGAGAGAGCGGGAGAAAGCAAAACAGAGGCCCCTCCCTCGTTTATGCGGTCGGTGTACAAGCCAGCCAGGCTAAGGCAAGCAGCGAAACCCTAGCAAAGAGTCTCCGCTATGGCGATAGCATGCTGCAAGGACGAACGAACATAACAGATGCTACTGTACAAAAAGCTCTAATCCAAATTGCCAAAGCCTAAACCCGGCAAGCCCTAAACTTAAACCCTAAACCGTGACATATAAACCCTACACTGCCCTACACCCGAAACCTTCGGCGCCCCCAATCCGTCCAGCGCCTTGGCCCTAGCAGCCTCCTCCGTAAGGAGCAGAGACTCCTGGCTGTCTCTTTCAAATTGGGAAGACTGAAGGTCTGTGCTGCTTGTGGCCTTCGGGTTTGGGATGCAAATCCAGGTTCAGAGGCTTTAGGATGTAGTAGCCTCTAATGCCTGGGTTAAGTCAGAAGATTTTCCCGTCGGATGTCTTGCTGTAAGGCCGCAAGGCTGTCTTGTTTGCCTTGGTCAGGGCCTTGTCATCATGGAACAGGCCTAACCCTAAACCCTGAACCGGCATAACAAGAAAGACTAGAGAGAGCCTTCGAAAGCCGGCCCTGGGCCAGGCGTTAAGCCCTAAACCAAGGTGCCACGCTACTTGCTGGGTACCCTACGAATCCACTCAAGCCTTTGAACCTACCCAGAGGTCACTTCCTACAACCTGTAATGAAGAAAACTTCAACATGCTCAGAACGCTTTCTTGGTTGCTTCGAGTACCAGAGAAGGCTATATCATACACATATAGCTTCTTCTTCTTCTGGAGACTTCAGAGCCGTCATGCGGCGCGTCCGTTGCACTGCGAAGTCGGGTGAGACGTATGCAGGCTGGGTCGCTTGTCCCAAAACGAGGCCGCGTAGCCCCTAGGCCCCTCTTTGGACCTATTCTGTATAAAGGACTGAACCCACGCGAGAAAAACAGGGTCGGGCCGGAAGAGCCTGGCGAGAAGTCCCAAGTCCATATCCTCCCCTAGTAGAAAAATCCGCTCAGAGGCAGTGATGGACCTGGGTCCCAGTGTCTGGACGGTGGGAAGTGCAGCCGTGAAGGCCGCCCAGGCTCCTCGCCGAATGCTCTTGGCCCGTCGGCACTCAGCTCCCTCGACCTCCCTGACTTCGGAGATCGGCATGGTGGGCACCCGTAGGCACGTTTGCATCAAACACTCGTCGTTGTGCTTCAAATGAGCCTGATGTCTCGCAATGGTGCGAAAACAGCGGAGACAGTGCACACACGTGTCGTGGTACACGATGTGCCGCACAGGGGAGTATACTCCATGCGATCGCGCCATATGTGCCCCCAGGTGTTTCCTTTTGGGGAAGGTTGCCGGGCACCAGGGGCACACGAAGTTGACAGACTCAGCAGGGACTTGCCCGGACAATGGTTCAGTCGGCGTAGGCACAACCGGCATGGGCTGCCGGTGACACCACGCCTCCATGTCAGCGACGGCGAGCTTGCAGGCTGCCTTGACCTGCCGGACCCACCAGTACAAATCATCTCTGACGGCATCCAGCAACGACGCAAGGACATCGGAAGTCCCCAAGAGTGCTTGAGCAGCAGGCATGTACTGCGCAACATGGACCACGTCCTTGTAGACCGCACTGAGCCACGCTGTCTTGGGTGATTCCCGCCAGTGGACCTCAAGAAGGTGCAGCAACGTGGCAGGGCCGGACTTGGTAATTTGTCGAAGCAGCACTGCCCGGGAGAGCGCCAGCGCAAGGGGGGGCGGCGGGGCCCCGGCCGGGCCCAAGACAGAGAAGCAGTGCTTGTAGTGCTCACCTTTGCCCCTTCTCCACAGATGACGCCACAAAGACACATAGTGTTTGGCCCACAAACGGCGATGAATGGCCGTGTGCAGCGACAACGCCGCGCTACCAAAAATGTAGCGCGAGATCGTGCCGTATTAGGCACTGGGGCTACAGTAGATCCGACAGCTGGTGTCGGCGATCTGAGCCCTCACATATAGCTTGTACATATATATATATATATACATATACATAGAGAAGAGAAGAGAGAGAGAGGGAGAGAGAGAGAGACCGGCATGTGCCCGGGATACGCTTTTCTTGTGATACCCTCGACCACTACACGAAGCTGTTTGCTTTATTCACACGACCTTTTTGCAACACCCGGATCCTAATGGAGTGCATATTTCTCCCCTAAATCCCCAACCACACAGCAGCTTTAAGGCCCTAAACCCTAAACCGCTTTAAGGAGCATAACACCGAGGCACATCGACAATGTCGGCCACCAGGCTGATTGCGGCGATGTCGAAGACATCTCTCAGAACCTGCTGTTTGGGAATTTCCAAAAATTGGGGGTACCTTATTTTGGGGTCCTTATAATAGGGATCCTATTATTTAGAGTACTATCTCAGGGTCCCCTGATTTCGGAAACCCCCATTTCGTGCTTCTGCACAGTGATCTCCCTCGTTGCAACCTCATTTGGGGAGCCTGCTTTGCTTTCGTAACAGTCTCGGCTACGATTCAGTTTGGACACCACAATTTCCATGCCTTGGTTAGGCCTCGCCGCAGTCTGTGGGGGGAGCATTGGAATATCTGCCTGCATGAAGAAGAAGACGATTTCAATTTCTGTTAGCCAGAAATTATGGTGGACCCTTTTTTTGAGCAGGGACTGCAATGCACTACCACCATGAACCCTAAATCCACTGTAAGTTCTCCATCAGTTTCTGTAGCTTCGTGCTCTTGTTTAGTCCCCTGGTCTGGTGCTTTCGGCATGTAGGGGAACCCAGAAGCTGGCACAGTAGGTCCCCAAAGAAAAGCGGAATGACGATACGGCACGGGCCTTAATACGTAGGATAGGGTTTTGGGGTTCAGTATACTATCACTGTAACAAGGAACCCCCCCAAAGTAGTATAGATAAGTATCCAAAGGCCCCTATAGTATGCCCATTCATGCTAATTTCTCCGGGCCTAACCCCACAGACTCCAATTGCAAAAGCTTGACCCTGGAACCCTCCGAAGCCTAGCACGAAGTCCGCGATTCCAAAGCCCGAATGCCCTTGCCAGGTTTAGGGGCTCAGGGTTTAGGGGTTTAGGGGTTGGGGAAACCTTAAACCCTCAACTTCAACCAAACTCCAAAATCTCCTAACCCCAAACACAACCCTTCTCTTGGTTCGTTCTGGTGCATCCTGGTATCTTAGCCCCTAACGGCCCGAGCGCCTCGAAGCCAAAAACAACTATCAAAGCAGCTTCAGAAAACAACAAGACACAACAAAAAACACAAACCCAGCAACGGGCCAAACAAACGACTCACAGTCAAACAGACCAAACACAAGGGCCTCCCAAATCAGACAAGCAAGCCACAAAACGGCAAACTCCCCACACACACACACACACACGCACACACACACACACACACATAACTCTACCCGAAACCCCAGACCCTAAACCCTTTTGCGTCCGGTCTGCAGC